GGCGACAGACACCCTTCTAAACGCCAACCTCGTCCCGGCAGGAGTGATAGCACGAACAATCCTGGCAAGGAGTACTGGAGACATCGCCTTCCATAAATGTAGCTTGGACCGACTTTTGGTTGGGATACTCAGTGTTTTTGCTTGGGCTGCAGAGGGCTTGGGCCCTGCACGGCCTTTACTCTCCGTGCCGGATCTTGCACAACAAGAGGGAACTGCAGCGGTTTTTCTTGCTGGCGACAGGCTCCGCCACAGTCATGTAGGAAAGAAGGCAAGTGCTGCCTTGGAAGTGGCCCTAAACGCATTGATTTGCTGGCTTTTCCCGATGATAGTCATTTTGGCCGGACTCATGGCTGTGGTGTTCGAGCCATTGCTGGTGTAGCCTGCGCACACGGCTTGTTGCTTCTCAAAGCACGGAGGCACACGAAGCTAGCAAAGCAAGTTGGTCGGGTCCTCACGCGGGAACAGCGTGCTGTCTTCTGGCCTGAGCTATTTCGTGATGTGACGGCTCCCCGGAGGGAGGTGGCAGTTCAAGAGTTGATGCATCTGCAGTTGCTTGCAGTGCGGGGACAGAGCATGTGCCTTGCACACTATGGTGCTGCTGCGGACGATGCCAGCATCCTGTACCAGTGGTTCGGGCCTTCTCGTTACGTGGGCAGGGCCCGGTTGGTCCGTGAGTCGCGGCCGCAGGTACCAGGTGTCGGGCAACGGTTTTGGGAGCACTTTCTGCGCTGGAAGCGACCGCACCTCAAAGGTGCGGATGTCACTCGCTATGCAAAGTTTAGGCGTACCACCGCTACTGGCATGGCCTTCCTAGTTTGCAGAGCAGGCACTGAGCGGATGATCAGTGCCGCTGAGTTGGTGGAAATACGGCGCCACTGCCCGGAGGCCAATGTTCAGGCCTCTACTGGCTGCATTGGGGCTGTCAACATCTACAGCCGGCAAAAGTGGAAGCTCCTGGCAATGTTTCTGGGGACTTTTGGCTGTGAGATTGAGTGGACACTCTTAGACAAGCACTGGGGTGCCCCTTGCGCCATGATTGAGCTGTGGGCCAAACTCCGCCGGTGGCTTCCTCATCGGAAGAAGCTGTTGGCTCAACAAAAGCTTGATATAGAATTTCGTCGGCGGGGTCTCCCAGGGACCCGTGGCCTCACAGTGAAGGTCCCGCGAGCTACTCTCGTCCGTGCTGTTCGGTGTGCCGTCTCCAAGCTCATCCGCAACAGGGCCGACTGGGATGATAGACTCAAAGGGTGGGCACATTCCCAAATCCGCGTTGTGACTGGCCGCGCACCACGCTTTTGTGATGCACAGAACTGCTCTCGCCTTGCCCGGAGGTTTGACTGGTCTGTCGTGGGCGGTGCTGAGCTGCAGACCATGGATGTTGCTCAGGTCTCTTCCAGGGCAAAACGTTTGGAGCACAACTGGCTTCTTACTGCAAGGCCCACCAAGGCTTCTGACGTTGCCGCAGTTAGGAAAGCCGTGAGCTCCGTAAGGTGTTTGTGGTCCCATGCCTGTCTTCGTCATGCTGCTATCTCCACTGCGACGCAGACCCTGCTGCAGTCCCAAGACTGGTTGCGGGAGCGCACACATGTTCAGCGCAGCCACGCACCCTACGCCTTCCTTCGGGACAACTTGCAGTTCCCACGTGGCCACGTTGTTTGCCCAGATGACAAGGTGCGACAGTTCAGATGGGTTATGCCGTACACGGCGTACTTCCTTTTGATTGCATGGTTTGTATCTGTGTCGCAAACGTGGACCACCTCCTCCATGTCTACTGATGAGGCAAATTCTTGGTGCCGCGCTATGCTCTTGGCCCTGGTGCCGCCCATGCTACATGCGAGAATGGGGATCACACGCCGAGGCTGGTTCCTCCCGTACATGTACGGGACCGTGAAAGCCAAATGCTTTGGGTCTGGCCCTGATGCGGGGAAAACATGTCTGCAACAAACCTGGACATTCATGCCTTCGCCGCATTGTCTCGTATGCTGCATGGAAGGCACGTCGCAGCTGGCGTGCAGCTGGCCGTGCGCTGAGTTTTATTGCCCAAAGTGTCCTCTTGACTGATGAGGTGCCTTCGTTAAAACAGGCCAGGCCTTTTGTGGTTGAGGGCCTGGAACGCTTGCAACCGTGCCGGGAAGTACATGTCTGCGATCGTTGCCATGGTCCATGCGAAGGATTGCAAGGCATTGTGGCTGATGCTGGCCAGTTCTTTGAAGCCGTGCAGGTCCCTGATGCTTGTGAGGCGGCTGACCGGGTCTTGAACTTAGCTGAGCTTGACGGCCACTCCTCTGTTACTGTTGCTGGAAAGAAGCATGTTTTCTTTGGTGGAAGCATCTACCGCTCCATGCAGCAGTGCCTCGTCTTCTCGTTGGATGAGCTATACTGGCTATTCGCTGCAGCTTGCAACATGCGGTTTGCCCATACAGGCACGCAAGTCTGGACGTTCTCAGGGCTCCCTATAGCGGGCCTCCTATCCAAGACGGCCACGTCCTTTGTACTTGGATGGCAGGAGCATTGCTGGCGCACAGACCGGAGTCGGAGGCAGGCTGCAGATTTTGACTTCCCTGACCGCCTGTGGCCTCATTTAGTGGCCAGGGCAAGTGCTCTGGCTCAGTCGAGCCTTGTGCGAGGGTTGCTTGCGCGATGGGATATGCCATGTGTACTCAGTTCCGTTTGAAGTGGACGGACCTGTTCAGGGTGCTCTGTCATGGCTTGATTTTCGCATTGAGTTGCAGCCGTTGCGATGGACTCCCAAGAGGAAAGAATTCATCGCTCTTCCCCCGTGGGCGGTGCAGAAACAGTATGCCTTCGGCATCTTGCTTGGCCGCGTATCGCGTTGGAGTGAAATGGGACTGGGACCTGCGGAAACCTCCGAGGCTCTGCTAGTTCTTTTCGTTGATTTCTACAAGCACGGCTGGTCGAAGAAAGCGTTGAGGAAAGCAGTATACAGAGTTGCCCAGCGGTGCAGCACGAGAGACAAGTCCCTCATGATCCGCACGTTTCATTGGAGTTTTTGTTTATTCTCTCGTTAATGTGCCTTGGGCTCAAATTGGGGTGTAGGTTTTGGGTTCCCTAGGCGTAGTGCTCTTTGAACTCAGTGAAGTATGGCATGGAGACAATGCCTGCTCGGGACGGCCTTGCTCTACCACCTTTGGATGGCTGATGCTGGGGGTGGAGGCCATGGTCGTGGCCCTCACCCGCGTGACCGTGAGCGACAAGCTTTGCCACGCTACCCTCAGGCTCCTCCTGCGCAGACAGTTCGCCTGGAAGTTGCTGTAGTTGGTGATGGGCGCTCGTCATCCTTCAGCAAAGGGTATGGCCGTGAAAGGGACGAAGGGGCGAATGGTCATCACCGTGATCGCTCCCGTGGCCTCGGCCGGCGTCGACATGGCTTTCGTGACTCCCGCAGCCCTGGTTCCCGCAAGCACAAAAGTAAGAGCCCTTGCCTCAAGAAGAAGAAGAAGAAGACTAAGAAGCGCAAGTCAAGCTCATCCAGCTCTTCTTCATCTTCCCCTGCTGAAAAAGCTTCCAAAGCAGATCGCAAAGCGGAAGCTAAGCAAACTGAAGATCGATTGATGGCTGAGATGCAAAAGATGCGAGCTGAGCTGGCCCGCAGAACTGCAGAGCCGACCACACCGAAGAGGCGCTCTACACGGCGTCCGGAAGTGCAGTGGACTCCCAAGATACACGCGCACCTGCAGTCTCTGTGCACGTTCATGTGTAATGGGGAGAAGGTACACCTCGTGGATGCTTCGAGGGTCCATGGATGGGAAGACATTCAGGAGCAGTTGCAGGTCCACTCCGCACCGACTCTCAAGAAGTACTTGGCGACAAAGGTTGCTGCATCGGAGGTACCCCGGACCAAGGCAGCGATCATTGCAGCAATTGTTGCACTGGTGTCAGAAGCAGTGCGAGTCTGAGACACCAAGAGCACGTTGCAGCCTTTTCTCAGGGACTTGCGGCCACAGCATGTCTTGATCATCGGGTCTGCAGTGAGCCTCCTCGGCATTTTCCTCTGCGGGTTTGTTGTTGGTGGGCTGAAGCCTGAATCGATCTGCCCAGCTCCCTTCGCGAGCACATGCAGATGGATCGATGCCTACTACACTTTGACAGTCAGGGAGATTCGCATCACCGAGACAGTAGACATGCTTTTTGGTTCACAAATCCTTCCCCAAACACAGTATGCTGCATTTGCATTTGTTGGCATCGTGGGAGCATTTGTTGGGAACTGCAGGGTTGGGCCCCTTATGCAGCCTTACTTTTCCAGGTCTGTTGCAGAGCAGTTCCCTCCTTGTGCCCTCCCTCCCTTGCCGGTGTTTGCTGGGAAGTAGTTTGCTTGCAGGTTGCTTGAGTAGGCATCCGCTGCAGGTTGTGATGCAGACTTCTTCTGCGGATTCGGCAGTTAGAGATGCACTGACTTTCCAACTTCCTTCAGGTCCCAAGCTGTCTGAGGCTGCTGTCATCCCCGTCTTAACTCAGGTATCACCTTTGCAAGCGTTTTGACTGCCAGCATTCTCAGCAGCCATGTTCCCCAAGGCTTAGGCCAGGCGCTCAAGCGCCTCCATGGCGCGCACACCTCTTTGCATCTTGTTGATTGCAGAGGCTAGCACCGGTGCGCAATAAGTGCCTGCATGGCAAGTACTTCAAGGGCTACGTTTCTCGGACCGGTGGCCATGCCCTAGCATGAAGATGGGAGTCGGAAGGCTCCCCACTGGCAACGGGTACAAGAAAGCTGCTGCCCAGGCTCCAAAGTATTCCTCCGCCCTGCAGCTGCGAAAGATGGCAGAGCTGTTGGGGCCCTGTGTGAAGCTCTGCCCCAAGCGTGCGCCACCGCCGGTACCTGCGAGACAGCACAGGCTAAGACTCGGAGCAATGAGTTCAGGCCCCTTCAGCTGCTCAGAAGAACCCACTGTGCAGCGAGGGCCTATCCGGCTTACGTTTCTCTAGCACGGCCAGCCCCAAGCCGTAGAAATCTTCAGCTTCTGTCTGCCGAGGCCACACAGTTACTGTGGTGAGGAAACCCGAACGCAAAAACCCTCATCTACATCCTCGACTGCCAAGGTGCCTTTCGTCGAGCAGTTCTCGAAGAGCACCGAACTCCCGGCTTCCTGCCGGTAGTCGGACATGGCAAGGAGGCAGCCTCCTCGGGGCACCAACATGTTTTCGTGTCTGACGGCTGGATAGGAGTGGGGCCCCCACCGAAACAGCCCGAAAAAATCTCTCAAAAAGAGGCCCCAAAACCCCCCACACCCTGCTAACTTTTTGATTGCAGAGGCTAGCACCGGTGCGCAATAAGTGCCTGCATGGCAAGTACTTCAAGGGCTACGTTTCTCGCTGTGGCCATACCCTGGCATGAAGATGGGCGTCGGAAGGCTCCCCACTGGCAACGGGAACAAGAAAGCTGCTGCCCAGGCTCCGTGTTGTCCCGCCCGGCAGCTGCGGAAGATAGCGGAGCTGTTGGGGCCCTGTGTGAAGTTCCACCACAAATGTGCACCCCCGCCGTCACCTGCGAGACAGCACAGGCTAAGACTCGGAGCAATGAGTTCAGGCCCCTTCAGCTGCTCAGAAGAACCCACTTTGCAGTGAGAGCCTTTCCGGCCTTACGTCTTTCTAGCACGGCCAGCCCCAAACCGTGGAGATCTTCAGCCTCTATCTGCCGCCCATGCAAGCCCGCCGGACACCAAGGACCGTGTCGCTCGGAATGAGGCCACACAGTTACCGTGGTGAGGACACCAGAAAGCAACAACACTCATCTGCATCCTCGACTGCCAAGGCGCCGCTGTCTGCCAAGCAGTTCTCGAAGAGCACCGAACTCCCGGCTTCCTGTTGGTAGCCACCTTTGGCGTGGAGGCCGCCTCCTTGGTAGACTTGCAAGCTCTGAAAATGCCGAACCTGTTCACGTCTCTGTCTGGGATGCGCATGCGATGTGGGGGCCCCAGCATTGCCACCAACGATGAGGACATTTCATTGCGGGGGCTGTCCCTGTCCGACTAAGGCTCGAAATGGCACGAGTACGCCGTCGGGCAAGCTGCTGCCCAGGCTCCGTGTTGTCCCGCCCGGCAGCTGCGGAAGATAGCGGAGCTGTTGGGGCCCTGTGTGAAGTTCCACCACAAATGTGCACCCCCGCCGTCACCTGCGAGACAGCACAGGCTAAGACTCGGAGCAATGAGTTCAGGCCCCTTCAGCTGCTCAGAAGAACCCACTGTGCAGCGAGAGCCTATCCGGCTTACGTCTCTCTAGCACTTCCAGCCCCCTTCAGCCCCTATCTGCCGCCCCTGCAAGCCCGTCGGAAATCAAGGGCCGTGTCGCTCGGAATGAGGCCACACAGTTACTGTGGTGAGGACACCCGCACGCAAAAACCCTCATCTACATCCTCGACTGCCAAGGCGCCGTGATGTGCCGAGCAGTTCTCGAAGAGCACCGAACTCCCGGCTTCCTGCTGGTAGCCGCCATAGGCCAAGAGGCCGCCTCCTCGGGGCACCAACATGTTTTCGTGCCTGACGGGTGGATAGGAGTGGGGCCACAGAAACAGCCCAAGACAATCCCTCTTGTCCACACCCTGCTAACTTGTTGATTGCAGAGGCTAGCCCGGTGCACAAGAAGTGCCTGCATGGCAAGTACGTACTTCAAGGGCTATGTTTCTCGGGCCGGTCGCCATGCCCACAGCATGAAGATGGGCGTCGGAAGGCTCCCACTAGCAACAGGCACAAGAAAGCTGCTGCCCTGGCTCCATGATATTCCGCCCTGCAGCTGCGGAAGATGGCGGAGCTGTTGGGGCCCTGTGTGAAGTTCCGCTGCAAATGTGCACCCCCGCCTTCACCTGCGAGACAGCACAGGCTAAGACTCGGAGCAATGAGTTCAGGCCGCGTGACAGTGCCCTGCCCCCAAACGCTAAACACTAGATAGACTAGACCCTACATCCTAAACTTCTAAACCCTAAACCCTAATTCGCAAGACGCATAGAGGTTCTCAGTTGTAAGACCGCTCCGACAGGCCCTTCCGACACCCAAAAAACAAGGCACCGATGGGCGATCGAAGACCGGCCCCGAACTTCGCTTCAACCATGGGGCCCAGGGCAGTTTCGGAATTTAGGGTTTCGGGGTTGGGGGTTTAAGGGTTTAGGGTTTAGGGTTGAGGGCAGTTTTGGAATGAGACCAGAATTACCATCGCGAGGACACCCCGAGACCGTGAAGCTCATAAATATCCTCCACTGCCAGGGCGCTCCGACGGAAGAACCCACTTCCTGTAAGCCCTTCCGAAACCCAAGACAAGGCAAACATCGTTTCAACTTGTGCACATCCTCGCCTTCCCAGGTGCCTTTTGCCGAGCAGTGCTCGNNTCCCGGCTTCCTGCTGGTAGCCGCCACCAAGGGCAAAGAGGCCGCCTCCTTGGGGCACCAACATGTTTTCGTGTCTGACGGGTGGATAGGAGTGGGGCCACGAAAACGGCCACAGAAAAATCTCTCAAGAAGAGGCCCCCAAACCCCACACCCTGCTAACTTTTTGATTGCAGAGGCTAGCCCGGTGCGCAAGAAGTGCCTGCATGCCAAGTACGTACTTCAAGGGCTATGTTTCTCGGGCCGGTGGCCATGCCCTACAGCATGAAGATGGGCGTCGGAAGGCTCCCACCAGCAACAGGCACAAGAAAGCTGCTGCCCTGGCTCCATGATATTCCGCCCTGCAGCTGCGGAAGATGGCGGAGCTGTTGGGGCCCTGTGTGAAGTCCTGCCCCACGCCTGCACCGCCGCCGGCACCTGCGAGACAGCACAGGCCAAGACTCGGAGCAATGAGTTCAGGCCCCTTCAGCTGCTCAGAAGAATGCGCTTCCCGAAGACGTAGAGATCTTCAACCCCTATCTGCCGCCCCTGCAAGCCCGTCGGAAACCAAGGACCATGTCGCTCGGAATGAGGCCACACAGTTACCGTGGTGAGGACACCCGAAGGCAAAAACACTCATCTACGTTCTCGACTGCCAAGGCGCCTTCGAGCACCGAACTCCCGGCTTCCTGCTGGTAGCAGCCTTTGGCAAAGAGGCCGCCTCCTCGGGGCACCAACATGTTTTCGTGTCTGACGGGTGGATAGGAGTGGGGCCACAAAAACGGCCACAGAAAAATCTCTCAAGAAGAGGCCCCAAAACCCCACACCCTGCTAACTTGTTGATTGCAGAGGCTAGCCCGGTGCGCAAGAAGTGCCTGCAGGGCAAGTACTTCAAGGGCTATGTTTCTGGAACCGTCGAGGCAGTCAAAACCATGCAGCCGGTTAAAGCCTGCCGCGGCACGGGCAGTGGCCATGCCCTACAACATGAAGATGGGCGTCGGAAGGCTCGCACCAGCAACGGGCACAAGAAAGCTGCTGCCCAGGCTCCGTGATTTCCCGCCTTGCAGCCGCGGAAGATGGCGGAGCTGCTGGGGCCCTGTGTGAAGTTCTGCTCCAAGCGTGCACCACCGCCGTTACCTGAGAGACAGCGCGGGCTGAGTTCAGGGGCTTCAGCTGCTCACAGGAACTCGCTTTACAGTACGAGGCATAATCTTCCCATTGTCTCTCCAATTCTTTCCAGCCCGGCCAGCCCCAAGCCGTAGAAATCTTCAGCCTCTATACCCGCCGCCCCTGCAAGCCCTTCGGAAAGCCAACGACAAGGCACACAGTCGATCGAAGATCAGTCTGAACTTTGCGTTAACATGATGCCCAGCGACCGGTGGAGTTTTACTTCCGTCTTCGTTTGGGGTGGAGGTTCCTTTTTCGGCTGGTTTCTCTTCAGGACCACCCAGTCTTTGGTGGGTTTTCCTTGGGAGCAACTGTGTAACTTGATGCTTAGCTCACCCCTCCAAGACACAATAATGACTCCATGATTCTATAACCTATAACTCAAACTTAACCCCACAAACAATATGCGATGGCGGTTGCCGCCTCCTGTGGCGATGGTGGTTGATCTCACGGCGAGTCCGACGGCTGGGTTGAACAAAATCTGCTAGCTTCAACTGCCAAGGTGCCGGCTTTTGCCGAGCAGTTCTCGAAGAGCACCGAACTCCCGGCTTCCTGCTGGTAGCCGCCTTTGGAGTAGAGGCCGCCTCCTTGGGGCACCAGCATGTTTTCGTGTCTGACGGGTGGATAGGAGTGGGGCCACCAAAATGGCCGCAGAA